TTGAACTGGCTCGCTAGATTTTTTTTTTTGATAATCCAGGCGTCGGTGCTTGCGCTCCCCTAATCCTGGAGTCTATTGACTACCCTCCAAAGTCTTCTAGACAAGTAAATCCGGATATGATCACAGTCAGCTTCGTCGGTACTGGTACTACAGGACGAATCCAGCAGGACTTCCTTTCAACTGAATGCATAAAGGTTTTTTTGGCCTTTCAACTGAATCCAGAAGGGTCCTCCCACCATGCGAACCTGAGCCTGAATTTTCATCCCCTCCCTTCTTAGCCGCTGAGCAACTCCGTGAAGGTAGGAAGAATCATTGGGAGCAAGACCCCCCTCCTCTCCCCTAATGTGTCTAGCGGGAATCGAACCCGAGACCTTAGCTAGACACGGTAACCTTGCTTCCAGTGGACTGGAAAGCTCGGTTGGCTGGCTAGATTTTATGGGTTGTGTTTATTTAACTGATTTCAATATAGGGGCCGTTTGGAAACAGCTGGACCAGCTGTTTGGGCTGAAAAGCCTGAAAAGACTGAATGTAATGAAGTGAAAGTGTTTGGTAATATGTTGGCTGAAATGGTTGATTGAAGGTAAAATTACCATAAAGGGTATAATTGTTATACTTCGAATCTGCTAGTGCTCTCCTTTGTAATTGCAATAATCCTTCCTCATGAAAGCTCAACATCCGATGTATGGAATTTCTCATGTGAAACTGCCCCCAAATTATATTATGCATTTGAAATCCATCAAGAGATCGAGCCTGCTCTATAGTTTTGGTTGTCAGAAGAGAACTGCCAAAATCACACCTTATATATATCTCGAATTACACCTCTATAGTCTTCGATCGACTATGGCGCAGTCATGGAAGAGCTTAAAATGAAAGGGAAAGGAAGAACAGAGCACCTGCGATGCTTTAGGCATATCGATGTATTAGGCTTAAAATGAAAGGGTAAGGAAGTATTTTAGATGGGCAATGGTACATTAAGAAATTCCAGCTGAAAAAGTAAGAGATGCGTTGCTTTTTTGGCTAATCGGAAAAAACAGCCCAAACAGCCCATTTGGCTTGTGTTTGGCTACTTTTTTGTATTTTCAGACTTTTCAGCCTATTTTTAGGCCTCCAAACACCCTCATAGTTAGAGTGTTTTTTTTCGATCTTTTTATTTTTTCCAAGAAACATGGGTTGTTTAGAGCGTGCTTGGTTTGAACTTTCAATGTAACTACTGTATATGACGTACTACATAATTTTTAATTTTCGATTTCTTATACAAGGTATACTATTTTTATGCTTTATACGAAGTATCTTAGCTTGTCTATAATAAATGTTTCTACTATAGATGATGCAATTATTGTACAATATTTTGCTCAATAATTCCTACTTTTGAGGCTCTCATGCATGGAAAATGCTTAGTATACATTAGTTGTACACAAGTTGTACACAAAACCCCCTAGTTGTCTGTGTACACATGCAATTCATTAAAACAGGGGTAGGAGTTGATCTCAAATTGCCTGTGTACACAGACAATGTACACATTTTGTGTACATCTTGTGTACACCAAGAATGGTCCCTCATGCATCCAGTATATCCAGAAATGATAGGGGTACACAAGTTGTACACAACTTGTACACAAAATGTCGGTCACAGACAATTGGTACAGAATTGTCTGTGGACACAGACAAGAGTTGTCTGTGTACACATACAACTCTTGTCTGTGTCCACGGACATTTACTTTTTTGTAAAAAGTACAATGAAAGCCGCTTGACATTGACACCGGCTTGCATATCAATCAATATATGTGCAGTGCCTGTGTGCACAAACAATATTTTCATGTTGCACAGATAATTATTTTTCTGTGTGCACAGAAAATATTTACCACACAAACAATAGTTGTGCGTTCCACATACAATAGTTGTCTGTGTAATCAACTTTAGTTGTCGGTGTGATCAATTTCAATTGTCTGGGATAAAAAAATTAATTATCTATATATATCCAAATGAATGATGTAGTTGTATGTGTGATCAATTTACATGTAATTTGAAAAAAATATAAAAATAATAAAAATAGATGAAATAAGATGAATAAGCTTAATTTGTGCAAATAATGAAAAAAAATTGATAAAAAAGGTAGAGAAAAGAGGGTGAAGAAGGAAAGAGGAGGATGAAGTGATAGAAGGGGCAAGAGAGAAGGGAGAGAGAATCGAGAGAAAAGAGGGAGCAGAGAAATGAGTTTTTTTTTCTTTTATACCATGTACAACTTGTGTACATGGTGTGTATACTAAGCATTATCCATTCATGTATAGTGTTGACACTTGACATGGAGATATTTGACCGCAAATAATATTCACAAAGATAAATTATTGTTAAATATAGATAAATATCAGATATCTTGTCATTTGTGATTCTAGTCATAAGAGATACAAGTATAGTGCTTTTCAACTTGAATGAGAATTTTGCGCACCTTATACTCATAATTTTCACTTTATGACCAGAATTCACTACAAAAAATTCACGGGAATGACACGAACTTACCTATAATTTCGTACCAAATAACCCGTGCCGAACTTTTTTGGCATGCATTTGGCATATCCCTGCCAAAATTTCTGTCAATCCCATGTTAATGTTGTAGTGGTCGTGATTTACACAGCAAAAGCTTTTCCTTGTAAAAGAAATTCCTTTTCGGTAGTTTTTCTTAGAATAATACTCCCTTCTTTTATCATCAACCTTAATACTAAAAGGGGCCCTGTTAGTAAAATAAAGATCTGACAGTGACATCATGTTTGAAAAGATTTATTTAAATACACATACACGTATGTAAAATAATCACTTTTTTTATGAACTTCAATTTGATCATGGAAAACCCCAGATATAGTCACTTAAATAGATATAAATAAGTAACTAAGAATGAATTTATTGTAGAAGAAACATTAGCCGTTTAAAGGGATGAAATCTTGAACGAAGTTTATTGGACAAACAGACATACTCCTTCCATCCCATTTATATTGTCCCGTTTTACCTTTTCGGGAAGTCTCACTTAAATTGTCTCATACCATATTTGGCAAAGTTTGTGTGGCTCTAAATCATTCTTACTTTATTCTTACTTTATCAATTAATATCAACCACACAAACCCACTTTTCTTAATAATCGTGTCACCCTCTTCCGTCCCAATATAAATGGGACGGAGGTAGTAGTACGTTATCATTAATTCACGCAGTATTAAACGGAAACGGGAGTATTCTTTCCCACACCGGCTGATCACTAAACAAGCAAGCGATGAAATCTTATAATCACATAAGCTAGCCACAATTTACAACCATCTTTGCGCTTGGGGCAATGACGCAGCTAGTGAGGTATTAACCGAGGCGCGTCTATTGCTGGTTGAAAACTATTTCCAAACCCCCTCTTTGGCTTAGGTTCATCCCAAGCTTTAGAGAATTTTTGAAAGGGTTCCCTATTTGGGATACCCTCTAACATAGTTTAATGTTTACTATGAGGATGTGTTTACATGGATTGGTATGATTTGGTTTGAAATGCTTTAGTCTGGGCTTTTTTGCATTTTTTTGGGGTAACATCTTGATTCTTTGTATTTTTTTTGTATTTTCAAATATACCAGTTCTCCAACTCTTTAATATATAGAGAGAAAATGGTCAAATAAAGTTTATTACTACGAAATCATCACATAAGGTCATGTACTCAATAAAGTGTCATATAGATATGTCTACTTATAAAAAGTAATCAGATGAGTCCTAACGACCCGTTTACAACCTCCTAATCCCGATTTTCGCTTAGATGTCGTTATTTTTGCTTTGTATTTCAGCCAATTTAGGGCTGCACATCGGGCGAGTTGGGTCGGGTTTGCTATATTTTTTGGGCCTACCCAATTTGTACGGGTTGGCTATTAACCAACCCGTAGTATACAATATAAATTGGCAAACCATGCATGAACGGGTCGGGTAAGGTCGAATATTGAAAAAATCACATCGGGTTGCCTCTTTAATGTGGGAAACCAATGCAACCAATTTGCAACTCGATTAACTTGTTTACAAAACACACAAACAAATACTCCGTACAAGTATCATTTATAAGCGAAAAGATAGGATAATCACTCTACATAATTGCAATACTTTGGAGATACACCATTTTCCCGCCCAGACGCATATAACATCCGCACTTTGGTGTGGGAGAAATGTGGACAATATTTCTCAGAAGATATATTATATAATATGAGAAAGACGTTGAATGATCCAGGTATACATGAGTTTTGATATAGTCAATTAAAAGTATCTCGCTTGGACTTTTACTTTTTATGATTTAATAGGTAAATTTTATGGAAATCACATACCTAATATGACTAAAATTTTTTGTACAGCATGAAATGGACGACGAGGAGATAGATAAATATTGTTTAGTGGAGATAGAGAACCAATGGTTGACATCCCTGAAGAATGTATTGCTCTTATAACAGATGATCCAATTGAAACTATTGTTAAGAGCATCTATCCTGATTTTGAAATGCACTGTAATGAAGTTTCTTATTTGAATTCGAGTGCAATTCTTGCGCCAACCATTGATGAGCGCGACTTGATCAACGATTACATGTTGGGATTGACTCCAGGTGAGGTAAAGACATACTTAGGCTTAGAGACAACATCTTCTTCTGCCTCAGACAGTGCACTGCTTCAAGAGATCCACTCTCCAGAATTGCTCAATACCATTAATGCTCTGGTGTGCCGAGCCATGAGCTAAAGTTGAGAGTGGGTGCACCTGTGATGCTAATAACATTTCTTTATATTCTCAAATTATTCATTACATACTAACTGCATCCCGTGCGAGAAGCACGGGTGAAAATCTAGTCATCCTACATAATTACTCTACTTTGTGGTAGACTCATTTTCCCGGCCAAGCGTCTCCCTATTTCAACCGCATGATCTCCTAAATTAAATCTAAGCCTTTCATTCTCTTTCATCACTCTTTCCCCTCAGAGAAACCAAATCTTTTTCTCATGTCTCTCCCTCACACAAACGAATCGCTTTCCTTTCGATCAGAGGAAGCACTCTGCATCTTCAACAGCTCCATCATCTCTGGCGGACCAGCTCCATCTTTGACGGTGAGTATGCCACTCCAGCCTCCGAGCGCGACGCCCCTGCATTCAGCCCCAGTGCCCTTCTCCTGGGCCATCTTCATTCTTCGCCACTCATCTATGAGTATTGTTCATATTTTATTGATTAATTTTATTACTCCGTAACTAATTGTCTAATTCCCCCTCTAGATTTAGTCTGCTATTGTTCTCAAAGCATCTCCATCAACAAACATCCAGATCACGGAAGCTGGACACCTATTACGAGAGGTATGCGGAACAGTCTATGTTTGATTAAGATTGATTTTCTTCAAATTGTATATCAATTTTACTTCTCTCTATTTGTATATTCGTTGCATTTTAAAACCTTCTTACACTCTTTATTTGTTTGAATGATGTGTGCTTCTGTTTTTAAATTAATATTAGGAGCCTCTGAGTTCTTATTCTTTTGTTATATCAATTTTCCTAAAACGTATTGTTTTTAGACATAGATATAGATTGTTTTATGATTTGAACTTATTTGAGTAGTTGTAATTTGATTACAAGTAGAATTTAGTAGACTGATAAGATGTAATCATCTAAAGTTGCTCTGTGGTACAGGTCAAAAGAGAGAAAACTAGTGAAAGACTTGGACTTCAACTCTGAAAGAGATAATACAGCAACACTGCAGGTGCGGTTTGAGACTAAGGCTCTTTTTGGCAGCCATAGTTGGTTTGTTTTGCTTATTCTGTTAGTTTGTCATAGAAATTGCCATGTTTATGAAATTCCTCATTCGTTTTCATATGCCTCTTAAACAAAGAATTGTCTAATAGGTATGTATGCAGTTCAATGATTTTAAATTCTTGATTCCTAGATGCTTCTTTACATGTCAAATAATGTATTTTAATTAGTTGATTTTAATTCTTGATTCCTAGATGCTTCTTTAACGTGTCAAAAGCGTGAAATGCATTTATAATCATTTCCGTTGCACTTTAAGTATTACAATATACCCTTTTTTTAAACATGCAATGAGAATTTTGTAAATAAGCAAACTTTTTTACAAATTAAACATGCATGAAAGATTTAAGAGCGTGCTACCTGAATAGAAAAGTGCACTATAGCGTTGTAGAAGTGAATATATCACATTTTAAATGGCGAAGGGCGAGCCAGTGCCGGCGCTCCCCCTTCGCCAGGAAAGTCTAGGTATATATATGTATTGATTTTGCCGGCGCCCCTTTCATTCTTTCCAGCGCCCCGGCTTCCTCTGTGCTTAGCACTGCGGCTCTGCTATACGAATTGAGGTTTTGAAAATAAAAACTTAGTTCAACAAAAACGACATCACTTGCGTAAGTTGAAAAAGGAAACATATAAGTAAAACGACCATACCTATGTAAAAAACGACACCCCACTCTTCCAATATTTAACAGTTAAATAAATATTAGAAAATTACTTTGATTCAACCCTCCTCGGTTATTCATTTAGCCAATCGGCCGCTCTGCCCAATTGCCGATGACTGAAATTTAGGTGTCGCCGTGCCGGACCACCGACGCTGTGCTGGATTGCTGGACACCTCACGCCTGGACGGCTGGAGCTTCGCTGCTGCGCATTTGGGGTGAACCTGTGAAGGCTGCGCATCTGGAAAGGTAGTTTTCTTTTGCTGTATTATTTTGTACTCTATATAAATATATATTTCTATGTGAGTTGTGTAAATTGGAAATTTGTAATCTGTTGTTGAAGTGAACTAAGTGGTCATTTCTTTTATTAGATAGTGTCGTAGTGTACTACTAGTACCTTAAATATACTAGCGTTTCACCCGTGCGTTGCACGGGATCAGTCATCCCACTGGCCAAGTGGTCAGCCATAAAAATAAGATATGACACACCCGTTTCACGTTGGTGTTCTCAATCATTACTAATGGGGTTCACTCCATTCTTTTTAATATCTCAAGTTTATGTATCAATTTTTTAATCTTACGGAGTATAAATGTAGTTTAATCTTTTTTATGAACTTTGATGCAAACCGAACTTAGACGCACATACATACACAAAATTAGAATCACACATCAGAAAAACCAAAATTGAATAAGATGTCATCATGTCAATCAACCAACAAGTAAACAATCAATCACCTTTGACCTCCTGTTCAACAACTACATGAAGAAGACCCATATTTTTATTTATTTGAAGAAGAAAGGTAAGAATGTTGTTAATGATAAACAAACTTACCAAATACTACGTATATCTCAAGTTGATTTCCTTTCCCCTTTACAATTATGACTTACTATATTGCTAATATTGTTATTACTACATATTTTCATTTTTAAAAGCAATGAATTGAAGATGTTATTACCATGCAACACTTTGAGGATCATCAAGTTCACATACTTTGATCCCAAATTCATTTTGGTTGGGAAAATATGCATACCCGTCATTGGTCTTTTTCTAAGTGTTTTCTTCCACAACAACCTGTTCATAACACATTGATCTAGCAACAACTTGAACTCTGCCCACTGCTTATCTTCTTTAGGCCACTGCACATGAGGGCCAGAAATGAGAAAGTAGCAACCAGGATGAAGTAATCGGGCCAGAGATGAGAAAGGTGAAGTTCATCCCAGTAATGATCTCTCTGTATTGAGTTCATCACCATCTCTCAATCAATTTCTCCTTCACCTTGTGTTGAGCCCTTTCCACCACCAACAACCACAACCGATTACAGACGGTGTGTTGTTGAATTTGGAGTTTCTATCCCATGAGTTTGAACATTCGAAATAATCTGCAAGTACACTTTGCCCAAGGTGAAAAGTAAGAAGTTTTGGGTTATTATATTGTGGGATGAGGTCACTCTAATGAATTGATGTTGCAAAAAACATTAATTTTAAAGTAAAATGGTATGTTAATGACATTTGGTGATTTGTAGCAACCGATAATAGTTAATGGCATTTGGTCATTTGTAGCAACCGATAATAATTAATGGCAGTTGGTCATTTGTAGCAAACGATAATATTAATGACATTTGGTCATTTGTAGCAACCGATAATATGTTAATAACATCATAGAGGAAAAGAGATAGTGAGTCCAATAACTATTTTGATAGTTTGCTTTCTATAAAACTGATTATAGTAAATAATATTTTTTGAAAATTAAATTAAAAGGATCAATAAGAAGCTGCAATCATAAAATGGAAGCACCTTCCAGATTCAGGCATCACTTGTTCTTTTCTTTTTGCTTAACTCTTGTCAACTGAACTTGAAATTGAAAATTGAAGCCATTGTGGTGGTTCAAATCTATTTAAGAAATAAGCTAAAATATTAATCAACCAAAGAAACAATTAGGTAGGATTTAAATAGGTGATACAAAGGGTCAAGTACAGGAAATATGATATGATGCACTTTCTCTATATGTAATTCTCCATCAATCAAGCGTGAATAAGTAATCATATTTATTTGACTTGAAATAAAATAGGGGTAATTTGAGTTTGCACCCCATATTACTGTCTAAATTGGAGTTTGCACCCCGTTTTAAAAAATCTTTGTTTTTGCACCCCCAACCCCATATGAAAAGACAAATATGCCCCTACATTAACAATTATGTTGATCATCAACATATTCTTGATTGAGGGCATTTTTGTCTTTTCATATGGGGTTGGGGTGCAAAAACAAAGATTTTTTAAAACGGGGTGCAAAGTCTAATTTAGACAATAATATGGGGCGCAAACTCAAATTACCCCAATAAAATAACTTAATAGCCAGAGAGGATGAAGCAGAAAATGATTTCAAGCATAAAGCAGCAAAAAAGAAATAAAGCAATACAGAAGCCGATCGGAATAAAAAATAGAGCAACATAGTATTTGAGATTGTATTTGATAATAATCATAATGTTTTCATATTTGTATAGTTTTTGAGAAAAAAATATAAATGATATGATCGTGGTCTAAAAACTAACCTTATACTAACAATTTCTTAGCAGAAGCAAAAATTATGTATCACTTACTATATCAGTTTACTAAAACAAAATGAGACTTTATACTAACAATTTATTAGTAGAAACAAAATGAGAATTTATATTAAATTTTGATCCCTAACATAAAGTGAAAATTCGAGCCACCTTACCCTACCATAGGTGGGAGCATTTGCGGCACTGGGATAATGATCATGATGTTGAATATAAAGTGAAAATCTCTATGAAAGTCATTTATACGAATTTTGGGATGATATGGTATGAGATGATTTTCTAATTGAACTTAATTTCTTTGAGTCGTTTAAGTAGATCACCGTACACGTAAACAATCCATAAAAATGTTTTTTTCAAACATTAAAACCAAATATACTTCTAATTAAGAGACAATCCATGAATATTAATTTTGATTCAGGAATTACCTTCTTCATGAAAAACATACGTAGTATTAAACTCAATTCTATCTAGTCCTCTAACAGTAACGCTTTCCTGGAATAAATTTAGAGGAATAAACAACGACAAACAGAATATAAAACAAAAAAAGTAAAAAAGAATAAGGACAATGTTAGTTTTGCACCTCAACAGTAGCCATTTGTGATCTCTTCTCTAGGTTGTCATAGTTGAATCGGTTTACACAAAGCAAGAGGCTCCGTTACCATTTTTTAGCCTATTTCAACACATTTGGATCTAATTGATACGTAGATGCAGATTTACACTTCAATAATAATGATTTTTTAATTGAGAAGTTGATATGCTTATTCTAACTATAACAACAAATTAGATGTGTTTCGGATGATGTGTGTGTGTACATATTTATATCATTTTCCTTAACAAATGAGTAAGCAAAATAAGATGTATCTTCTCCCTTGTGCATCATCGTCTTATTAATTTATTATGCATTACTTCTAAAATCCTAGAAAATTAGGCATCATAGGAAGACATATTTCATTGAGGAATTATAACAAACATGTTGCTATCAAAACATTTACAACCATTCATTCTTAAATTTGAAGTTTCCAAAATAAAATTTGCACAAGTGCAATATGTCATTTCATACACATGGCTTGTGGATATAGAAGAGCTGAGATAGTTTGGCAGTGTTGATTCTCAGGAAAAAGAATTATGAATTATGAAATTAGTGGTGATTAAACAATAGATTTGAAGGAAATGGAAAGAATTATAAGGTGGAATTAGATTAAAGTCGTTGATGTGAGTGTTTGAACAACATCTATGTAGTGATTCAGAAAGAGGGTTAAACACAATTTCATCAAATGCAATTTGGCTTCGATCTTTTTCACTAATACCAAAAGTTACGATGAACACTGCTAAGTGATGGAAAAGAACAGAAGCAAAGGGGTAATCGACAAATGCGAAAATGTTGAAAATTGAAAAAATAAAATCTATTCAGTATTTACCTGGTTCGTGAGAGACATCTATCTAAGGCATGGATAGCTCGACATCGTTGATTTGGAAGGAAGAAAATGAAAATCAGTTGAATTGGAAGCGAAAAGCGATCGATCGGTGTGCGTACCAAGGGTTCCAGGGATCACATCAGAAGAGAAGAATACTCATGAGCCATTGATTTGTATAAGTACGAATCGAACGGATGTCATGTGAGAATGGTTTAGGCGGGATTTTATTTTTTTGGTGTTGTAGTGCTATTAAGGAGAGGATTTTATTTTTTGGGTGTTGTAGTGCTATTAAGGAGAGGATTGTATTAGTGAAGTGTAATGTGTTTTTATTTTCTTAACTAAATTGTCTTATAATTTAATAGTGAATCTAGTGACCAAGTATAAACCAAAAGCTAATTATTACAGAGCATATGAATTTATTGTTGTGTAATTTGTTAGGTTAAACATGTTAAAATTCCTGATACGGATTGGAGAGGCTTCAAGCACTGTAAATAAAGACTGAGGGCAAAACAACCTCGTGTTGAATTTCCCGGAGTAGTTAGATTGCCATTTAGATGTAAACATTTAGTTTTTTGACATTTCTTTATACATTGAAAAGGAAAATTTTCTAACACTTTGAATTTAGATAATCTTATGTGTTTATTTTTAGAAATTATGAACATTTATGAATTGTCTGTATACACTGAAAACTGGGAGGAGTGTGCAAAAAGTATGTAAACCGTCATGTATGACAAAAAAAATTCATACATTTCTCGCCTTTCTCAGCACCGGATCAAATAAAGGTCTGGTTCCGCCACTGCCTTTCATATGATCTGCACCTTATTTATATGATTTGGGTCAAACAAAAATTGGTGTTAATGTGATAAATGAGAATGTTATTTGTGTGATAGATTTGTGATGGCTGTAAAGATGCCAACAATGCACATTTGTTGAAGTAATGGACCGAATCACATATTGATGGGCCTTTCAGCCCAAGCCCCGAGAATGGCCTGATTAGATTTGGGGCACGAGTTAAGACTCTTTTTCATTTTATCTGCACCTTGTATATGATTTGGATGAAATAGAAAATGTTAAAGGTGCCAACAATGCAAATAAATTGGGATAAAAACGCAGTGAAAGTTTCATAAATTAGTGAACGTTTTTGCAATTACAAAAATGTACAGATTGAAGTTTGGAGTAACGGACTGGATCACATACTGATGGGCCTTTCAGTCAAAGGCCCAAGTTGCCTTGGGTCAGATCGCCACAAGTTGCCCGATTCCTAATCGGGTTGGTTGGCCTGTTAGCGCTAGCCCGCCATTTGGGTTAGGCCCAAATATTTCTTAATTAGTGAATGTCTTGTAAATGTCTATAAATAGGTCATGATCGAATTCACTTGTAACCCTACACCATTTTACTATACTAAACTGCTTCGAGTTTTTCTCTAGATTAATTTATTAGTTTCATACTCAATTTTTACTCAAATATTCTTTCATACCCTCCCAAAAGGACTTCGAGTGCTGGATTAAAAAAGATCTAATGCATCCTATTAAATAAAAAGATTATGTATGATAAGTCCTGACAAGATCTAAAACTGATATTATAACTAAAAGTATGATAGATTATGTCAGGATTTAATTAACGCAACATGAAGAACAATAAAGAAGAACACACGAAATTTGGTAACCCAGTTCGCCACAAAGTACTATGTTTGGGGGCGCTACCAAGCCAGAAATGTTATTAATTTCGGATCAAGTGATTACAAGGGAGAGAGCTTGTATTTATAGAAAGTAAAACCTAACCCCTAATCATAATAGGAGACGAGCGTGAGGCCCACATCTGTACGGCCCAAAACTGTACGGAAACTCGCGGTTCTTCAAAAACAGACCCAAACGAATAGAGCTAAGTTATACAGTCTCTAACACCTTACAGATTAAAGAGAATATTACCCAAAATAGGACTAAAAAGGTTTGAAAATTCCAAAATCGGACTGCCATGTTTTTATTCCCAAAATAGGACTGATTACTGTCATGTTTTGGCAGTACCAGACTTCAAACATGACAGTATTTTCCAAACTTGGCAGTAATTACTCCTATTTTGGGAATAAAAAACATGACAGTCTTATTTTGGAATTTCCAAACTGTTTTAGTCCTATTTCAGAAACTTTCCCCAGATTAAAACTTGCATAGAGGAATGTAAGCACCTTAGAATCGTCTAAAAGCGGGTGCTAGCGCTC